CTTTGCATGCCGTTTCTCCACGCCGTGTGTGCTCCCCGCTCTCCTGGGTTTCGCCCGCGCGGTCTCTCAGCTCGCCGGCGCCATGATGCTGGTATTCCGTGCTTTGTTTCTCCCTCCCGCCGTCCGCGGTCTCCCCCGCCCCCTCCGGGACCCTCAGGGCTTGTCCTTTTTCGGGGATGGGGGCTTGGATTTTTGCTCAGGTTCTTGGAGATTTTCATTGGAACTGGTTATTTGGTGTTGCAGCACCATCAAAATCAATCTCCAAGCAATTAGTGCTTCGGCTGCGTTTTTGTCCCCTCTGTCCTTTTGTTTCCATATGTGGTGTCCAATTTTTTCCCAGTCCTGTATTTTTAAATCGTCCGAGACCACTTCGCTGCGGTTTTCTAGCCATTTTGCAAGCGATTTCGCCGACTTTTTGTCTAAGGGGTGCCCATGTTCAATAATAAAGTCTTTTAGCTTGCTGTATACAAATTTTTGAGGGGTTGATAACCAGAGGCCCATTGCGAAATTACTTAGGCTTCTGTTAGTCTGCAGTTGGTTTTAAAGTTGATTTTGTGAGGGTGGGAGATGGGTGAGGGATCAGGAGCTTCCCCGGCGCTCACCTTCTTCGGTGCGAGGGCCTTATGCCGCAAACTGGAGTTCACCGGGAGGGACCAGCGGGACGGAAACGCCTCTCTCTGCGCCGTCCGAGCCGTCGTGGCGTGGGGGAGGTTTTCTTAAGGCAAAAACCTCTGCCCGACGGTGGGCGCCATTTGTCGCGGTCCGAAGGGAGGAGGGGACAGGACACGAGGAAGGGTGCAAGCAGAATTCTTTATTCAGGCGTGTGTCCGATTCTTAACTGTCCCGCCAGGGAAAAGGGGGCAGAACATAGGGTGGGCTATCAGACAGAGCAAATCAGAATAGGGCACAGGCAAAAGGGGGAGGAGGAAGCCTGGGCATGTGCAGTTGTGCACTGTGTAGAAACCACATAATAACAGTAAAGTCCATATGAAAGTCCTGCCAATTGCTGTATGCTTTTAACTGTTCCCATCATGAATCTTGCTTCTCTACATCACTGTCTTCAGCTACATACTGAAGATCATAGGAAAGACAAAGCTGGACTTTTCTTGAATGTACACAGCAAAAGGATGAGGGAAAGTGGATATATAAGTTATGAAAAAATTCCAATGTAACATTAGGAAAAATTTCACAGTGAAAGTCAACCCTTAAGAAGGGACCAGAAAAGGCAGAATTTCCATCCTTACAGATATTTGAAATGCTACTGGATATGAGCTGGAGCAACAGGATCTAACTTTGCTGGTTGATCCTGCTTTGAGCTGGAGGCTGAAGTAGATAACCTCCAGACCTCCCACTGAGTCTAAATTCCTCTGATTCTACCACTGCAGAGAGCCAGTTTGGGTACTCAAAACATGATGGAACTGTCTCCAGTGCAGCTTAATCTACTGATAAGGTGTCCAAATAAAGAATTCTTTCCCTCTTGCGAAGTATTCCTTGGTGCACATTCGTATTTTGGGTGAAAAAGTACTCTACACATATAAAACAAAAGTACATGCAAATAGTGTGAAAGGTAGTTTAAATGGAATTTAGTTTTTCAGCATACTTCAAAAGTAAAGCTTTCTGAAGAGAAAGACTAATTGCAAATTGCTGTCATTTTAAGAATACTTCCCTAAACAACATCAGCTGCAGTGCACAATGTTTATGTTATCAAAAAAGCGCCAAGAGCTAAACTCACAACAGCTTAACTTAGAAGTCTGTCATATAGATTGTCTTTTCCTCTCTTAGCAAGATCACTGTTAAACATTTAGCAAATGTTAATTAAGAATATCAGACATGACTGTTTTCTAAAGGGTCACCTGGAATGTCCTAATGCTATTTCACATCATTTCATTTTCATTCAAATGTACTGAGACTACTAATTACGTCACAGTTTTCCTAAGTGCTTCATTTGAAACCAGACCTACAGCACTTAAGAAACCTAAGCTGTACTTGCTCCACACAGACTAAAGTATTCTCAGTTTCTGATTTGCTATTTTCTAAGTCCTGTCAAATGTACTACAAGACTACAGACCTAAGGTGAGCCTTAGGTGAAAATAATACTGACGATGCTATACTTAGAAGGTAAAAAATCTGTAGACTGAACATTAAACACTTGAAAAATATGAAGACAAGTGAGGAAATCTTGTTAACAGTTTCCACTTGTTGCAAATAGATTAATTTCAATGAAAACTGGGTCAAGATTTGCACTAGTAAACCAATGCAAATGCTTAATTGACTCTGGAACAGTGAATTATTTATTCCAAAAGAGAGTCAACCACCCCAACAATTTACAAGCCCAGAAAGCAAATATGGTTAAAAAAGAATAAGCTACATTTCTGGGAACTGCAACAGAGAATTGTTTAGTACAAAAGGTAGAAGTAGCTCAGTGCTCAAGAAATGGTTTGTTTGTTTGTTTTGTAATAACGGTATATGTTTCTTAGTGCTGGCAAAACACCCTTCTGGTATTAAGCTTAATGGGTTTTATTTAAACCTACATTTGCTAATTACTACTGAATTGCTAGGACAGAAATTCATTACCTTGTAAACTGATCTATATTTTAAATTAACAGACAAGCACTTCCACAGCCAAGGTGAGCGCATTAAACTTTCTGACCTAAAAATATAAGCCTAACACAGCAGAAGGATGTCACTACACAGTAAACCAATACCAAAAGCTTCTGCAGTATTTAGGATCACATCAACAGATTCTCCTGCCCCATGAATGAGACGGTGAGTACAGGAAGTACCTGATGCTCCTCTCCTCCTCCACTGAGGATGCCCTGCCCAGACAACTGCAGCAGCAAAGCAGAGCTGCCATGTTTCAGGTCAGTGGTTCATGGAATGAGGGACATTTTTGTGTGAGAATATATGATCCACAAGATTTGTATGAGCTACTCCTAGCTGTGTCTGAGCTCTACACTGAGGGGCAAGGAGTGCCTTTCACATACATCCAGAGCCACTAAAGAAATCAGACTGGCTGGGTTATCACAAGAAGAAGGGTAAAATTAAGCAACCCATGGCAAGTCTAAGAACTCAAATATCTCAATAGTGTCAAAGTATTGGGAAATTGCAACAATGCTTTTTTTGGTACCAATGACAGCCAAGATTGAAAAAATGCTACCTATCACAGCAAAAAGGATTAGGTGAGAACAGGACAACAGCTGAACGATGACAGTGGGTCAAGAATATAAAAAGTTTCCTCATCTGTAATGTTGGTTTCCCTATCACAGCATCTTCATCAACATTTTGCATCATGAAATTTTTCTAAAATAAATTAATCCAATTGAGTTGGATGCTACATACCATAGGGGAACTGAAAAGCTATCAGGAATGCCAGCTAAGAACCAGAGAGGGCTAGTTAAGCCCAGCAGCCAATGTCAGAAATTAAATCCATTAATAATGATTCTAGTGATTTTTCTTTGAAAAAGAAGAATTTCTTTATTTCTAGTCATAAAACCCAAAGCATTTCCTATTCTGAAAAGTACTAAAATTCGAGCTTTGAAAGTGGTACTGGATGTGCTAATACAGTTGGAGGGAGACAAAAGAAAAAAATCAGTGCACTTCCAAAAAACAAGACGTTTTAACTTCCTTTTGCAGTAGTTAGTAAGTATTTGTCCACAGGAAGATTAGAGAAAGTTCAACTATCTTGTGAAGATTTACTATGGAAAATCTGGAAAACTAGGTCTGGCATTTAGGTGTAAATACAGGATTTCAGAGCAGATTTAAGTGAAGGTTTTAATGCATTCTTAATTACCAGTTTTCGACCAGTGGTCCTGTAACACCATCAACCTTCTTAAGGTTCAGAACTCAACATAAAAATTTATGAAATTCTTTTCACAAGATCTCACCAAGGAGGTTTAAAAACACATTAGGATGCAAGTACAACAACAAGGGCAAACCCACGTCACAGAACTATTAAACCCACAGCAAATATGGACAGTTAAACTTATTAACACTTAAAGATTGCAAATGAATGTGCATAAATTCAGAGTACAACACTGCATACAATATAATATATAAAACTATGCTATATCAGCACTTAGGAGAACGATTACAACAGGGAAGCTGACAACTGCTTTTCTCTAAATTCAAGTAGTCCCCATTTTTCTACATAAATGGGTTATGAAAAATTCAATACATCTCTGAGTGTTGAAGACAAATTAAAATACTGGAAATATTTTAAAAGTTAAAAATCCACCAATTATTCTCTAAATTAAACATTTCATCTATTTATTTCCTTTGTTCAGTTATTTTTGTAGATTATACTTCCTTTTTACTAAGTATTTACAGATATTACAGCCATAGAAATATTTAATTAATCCTATCTTTGTACTTTACAGATTGAAGAAACAATGTTCAAAACTGTGGTCTGGCAAAACTTCATATTTTAATCTCAATATTATATTTGCAGTTACTCTAGCATTATTTATTTTTAGATTTGAATCCATCTTTAATAATTGTCCCTAACTGCAGACTGCCACTCAAACTGAAAATTTAACAGCATCTTTATAATTCAGAGCACATTTTTTTGAGGTAAGTTTTGAAGATAAATAAATTCAACAGGCACCTTACCTCACTCTATAGTGCTGATATCTAGTGGGCTAAGCATAAACATAATACACTGTATTCAAAAGAATATATGTTGGTTTTAAAAGAGGCACAAGTAAAAACTGTCAGGGAACCCAAACTCTACAGCCAGAGTTAAAAAAAACCAACAAACAAACCCAAAACAAACAAAGAACCAAACCAAAACCAACCAACCAACAAAAAACAAAACAAAAAACTCCTCTCAAATTTGTTTCCTGAAAGGTAATTCTGAAATAGTTAAGTGCAAGAAGTAATTATTCCCAGGTTTGATGGTAGTCATCAGACATTCTGCATTTAGTAAAGCAATCTAGAAATTTAAGCTTTGTGACATCAAAGTGCCATTTCCTATTTTATGCATATTAATTTAACTTTCTTACCTTATTTACTTCCATAATTTCCCTTCTCTCTTCACTAGCAAAACGAAGCTGACTTGCAGCACCACGATCATCATGCTTAGAGCCATCTTCTTCAACATACGGAATAAGTTGCTGTGAAAACAAGAAATATTAGGTTTATTAAAAAAAAAAAGAAAAATTAAAAGAAGAAATTAAAAAAAAAAGAAATGAAATGCAGGAGATACATAAGGTACTACCATTTTCTCCGCAGGTTCAAACCGCTCAAACGAAAGTTGACACAAGCTCGTCACCTCAAACCCAAAGGCCTTGGAATGACCTCAGTTTGTTCTCCAGGAAAATGATGCGCTTCAAAAGGACACAACCCCACCTGTTACCATGCTTAGATCCAAGCAATTTCACAACTGCAGGCAAACCCCACACTTTCCATTTCAAGATGTGTATCATGGATAAATCTTGTATTCTTGAACTATGCAGATTGTGATTTTCCATTTTACCATTCCACACTATGAAACACCACAAACAACAGCTTGTCATTATTATAAAGTATTTTAGCAGAGGGGCAGGTACTGATCTCTTCACTCTCATGACCAGCAACAGGACTCGAGGAAACAGCATGAAGCTGAGTCAGGGGAAGTTTAGGTTGGATATCAGGAAAATGTTTTTCACCCAGAGGATGGTTGGGCACCAAACAGGCTCTCCAGGGAAGAGGTCACAAGCCTGCCTGAGTTCAAGGAACATTTGGACAATGCTCTCAGGTACATGGTGTGATTCTTGAGGTGTCCTGGGCAGGGCCAGGAGTTGGACTCAATGATCCTGATGGGTTATTGATTCTATGATTCTATATTCTATGGTTCTATACTAACCATAATTATGACTGGCTTTACATAGCTACTTAGTTAATACTCCAGCTATGACTTGCTGTTTTAGTGAACCTCTGTTTGGCTGTTCTTAAGACCAGGCCTATAGTTACCTAAAGGGAGTTTTTCCCTAAGTATTTCCCACTGTGATCTTCTCCGACACACAGGATCATAGTTTTGTTTAGGCTGGAAAAGACCATATTGTACTATCATTTCTGTACAAAGCCAAAAATCTTTGATGAAGTATCCCTAAATGAATACTACTGTATGCTTCCTTCCTAAAAAGAAAATAAATTAAAAAGAATCAGTAAATATAGCAGGTATAAAACAAATACATGCTTCTGTGTCAGAACACTTCCAAGCTACTAACAACTAATAAAAAATTAATAAGCTGTAGCATTTTATACATAGCATACATCCACAGTGTCCACAGTGCAACATTGTTTTTCTGTCCTGAACCAAGCAAAATTACATCCTCATTCCCATACACACTACAAAGAAATGAAAGACTAGTATTGATGAAAATGAGCAAGAAGACATTAGTTCAAAAGCCTTGGAGCAAGTTGCTCACCAAGTGCATATTAAGTCGTTACTTAGGCTGGAGTGTAATATTTCAAAGCATTCAGCATCCTCCTTCAGCATTTTGATAGAAAACTTACTTTGATTTAACCCACTGAAAATTTAATGTCCTTCTATGCAAAAATTTCCATAGTCCATTCTTATTAAGCTTATGAAAATGAACAAAAACTACCACACTAAACTCTGTCATGAAAACGTAGTAAAGGTTAACCACTTACTACATTTGCAAACCATAAAAAAAGAAGTAGTGTGGCTCCTAAATACTCTTGGAAAAAAACTCCTCTCTCTGATGGAAAAATAAAGTAGCACTCAAACTAGAACACTTCCTTTGAAAACCTCCTGTCTTTTAGAAAAGGTAATAGAAAAAAACCAAACCCACCAAGAAAAGCCAAATTACACTTAACACACAAAAGCAGGAAATTTAAACCAGATCTGCTTCACAATTATTTCATGCCTTGCTACATTGGTTAACAGAAATTTAGTCATTATATTGGTAGTACACATTTACAAAAAATGTGAAAACATTTATATCAATAATAATAGACTAAGGAATATTAGTAGGTACCGACTTCTCTTGACTCTGTAAAAAAAAAGAGCTTTGTAAATATTCTCAAAGGTATGATTAGAATGTCAGCCACAAAATAATATGATTGAGACTATTATTGAAATACTGGAAGAAGAATTTAAGAAAACTGATCCAAGACGAATGGTGTGCCACTGTCATTCACCCTAACCAGTAAAAACGAGACAGGCAGGCACTTCCTAACTTCAGAGCAGAAAAGACTACGCAGATGTCATGGTTTGAGATATCCCCAAAAATCCTAATTCCCTAGTCTAAGCCCCCCTCCCACATCCCAAACTAATGTCATTGTAATATGTAACAGTCATTGTAATATATTCCCCTTCCCCCATTCTGAGTCTGGCGTGTTTTGTCTGGAAAACCCATCTCACATTAGGTTGGGATGTGGGAGGGGGGTTTAGACTAGGGAATTAGGATTTTTGGAGCTATCTCAAACCATGACAGCAGATTAAAAAGAAAGAATTCCAACTATTGATACAAAATTTTGCTGTGCCTAAGTTATCAGTCAGACATTGCATTAAAAAAGCTTACTCTACTCTGTTGCACACAAGTCAACACACCATGGAAAAAGTTTTATTCTTTAAAATGGGAAAGTTATCCTACTCCCTTGCTTGCTGTCAGGTTTCTCTAAAACCCTTGGTAGTGACTGTTGACAGAAGTAGTAGTCTAGAAGTAGTAGTCTAGACTGGACTGTACAGAATGAATGAATGAACCTAATTTATTTATTGCTATTCATTGAAGAGATTCAAATACAAAATAAAATGCTTATATGGTTAAAATTCAACGGACAATCACAAGTCTGTTAATAAAGTTGCCTCTGAATCCAAAGGTCAATATTTAAAGAACTTCACAGTTCTGGATAATTAGCGCAGTATAACTTGAGTCATAACACAAAACAGGGTTTAAGAGTATTACTAAGAATTAGAAACAACTTAACTTATGAGGGAGAAAACAAAGTTTTGATTTTACTAGGAATAGCAGTTTTATTAGGAAAAACTTTAGCCAATCCTCCTTCCAGGAAGTCCAATGCTGTAACTGTTTCATCACCACTGCACAATTAATTTTGGTTCATACTGGCCCAGCAGGTTAGGAGCAGCAGAATGAGGCAACTAAGGAGGCACAGATTGATGGTCAGAGAAAGTGAATAACGTTTATTAGTGAGGGAGCAAGGCTGACAGGTGAGAACTTGAAGCAGGCTGTTCCCCACTTTTTCCCACTTCTTTTAAAAAATCTACCCTGATCCTTTCATTTTCCTAGGGGAAACAAATTGATGAAGGAACTAAGAAGCTTGAGGAAAAAGGCTAAAATTTTAAATCAAGTTTGATTTTACAGAATCCAAGAATGAATTAGGTTGGAAAAGACCTCTGAGATCTTGTCAACTAGACCATGGCACTAAGTGCCACATTCAGTCTTTCCTTAAACACCTCCAGAGACAGTGACTCTAACACCTCCTTGGGCAGCCCATTCCAGTGTTTAATAACCCTAATGTCAACCTAAGCCTCCCCTGGCACAGCTTGAGGCCATTTCCTCTTATCCCATCACTTGTTGCCTGGGAGAAGAGGCTGAACCTTACTTTGCCACAACCTCCTTTCAGGGAGTTGTAGAGAGTGAGAAGGTCCCTCCTGAGCCTCCCCTTCTCCAAGCTAAACAACTCCAGGTTCCTCAGTCACTCCTTGTCAGACTTGTGCTCCAGACTCTTCACCAGCTTTATTGCCCTTCTCTGGACACGCTCCAGCACCTCCATGTCCTTCCTCAATTGAGGAGCCCAGAACTGGACACAGCACTCGAGGTGTGGCCTCACCAGTGCCGAGTACAGAGGGAAAATTTCAAACTGGGATTCAATTTCAAAATTGGATCCCTCCCAATTGGCAAGAATTGATGATGATAATCTGAAAGTTTTGCAGTTTTTCAACCAGCTTTAACTAATAAACAGAATTCAGTCCACTTAATATCCTGTCTCATTAAAACTTGTTATGAGTCTCCTGCAACTGAGGAGAATGAACGATATGCTATGCAGAGAGTGGTTATTCCGAGCTGTAATGTATATATGCATAAAGATACTTACTTCTATGGGAACAGGATCGAGCCCAGCACAGTTTTCATTGCATTTGTCATAGACTAATCTCAGTTTTCTGAAGAGTATTGATAACTGACGGAGATGTTCCTGCAGCTTTCCCAATCTGTCTTGATATGTTGCAGTATGATAAGTAACACCATTTGGTAACTTAAGAGAACCAAAACATTAAAAATATTAAAGCTTCTGTCCCACAAAATAACCAGACCAAAAGAAATCAGATGGGGTTTTGTACATTTTAAAATCAGACAATCACATTATTCCCACAGAAATCACTGATTTTTTTATTTTCTTTACCAGTAAAATTCTGTATTTTATGTGCTCAATCACTGTTGTCAAACAGCTTCACGTATTCTATACTTTGGTCATTGCCAATCCCTCTAACTCTTTTCAGTGAGTGTCTTCACAACGGTTAAGTATGACGTTGTGATCCAAGTATTACACTTTGAGAGTTTGTGTCTCAACCCCAGGCCACAAAATTCAATAACACCAGAGTCATGAAAACAGAAAGAATGGGGGTTATTATTTATCTTCTACTTTCCACAGAGAGAAAACACAACAAATGTTTGTATGTTTTCTCAGTAAGTAGCCATAAATAAGGACTATGTCCATTTTTATAAGAAAAAAAAAGAAGTTTTAGGTGGGAAATATTACCAAAAAAGATCAATGAAAATTCCTCTAAAATTACTCCCTGTATGTTAACATAAATAGAGAAACATAACTGGCATATAAACAGACTTTGCTATTCATAAAGGAAAACACAGTTACAAAGTGTATTTAGAGTTTATCTATTGTGGGGGCAACAGCAATTCAGCATTTCTGAATATTCTACATGTTCACTTTATCTACAGGAGTAAACAAATACATTAAGAGTAGAATTCAGTTCTCCAATCAATCCACCCTTTTAAAACAGTTTGATGGAGTTATCTAAACGTCCTAAGCCGCCACCTCTGTCTGTATATACTGGCTGTCAGTGATAACAACACAGGAAGCAAGGGCCGTGAAAATAAAAAGCTATTTTTCACCTGCATGTTCCTCAGTAACTGGAAGATCTCCATGGTTCGGAACACAATGTCCTGCACGGTCTCCTGGCCGATGCGGCAGAGGGAAGCCGTGTTCACCTCCCTGGCCGCCTGAGACTGAGTCCCCGAGAAAGCGCCCGGCGGCATCCCCGCCCCAGCCAGAGGGGGGGTCGACATCTCCTGGCCTTAACCAGTCCCACTAGGCCGAGCAGAAAGAGGAGGTTATGATGGAACGATCAAGTACTTGAGTCTATCCTAATAAACTTCTGAAGGGCAGCTATCCCACTCCTTCTCTCGGCACGCGGCCCTATCCCAGACAGAACCGTTCAACTGACGAAGCCGGCTCAGCGCTGCACCCCCGGGGTCGGACCAACCCCTCGGTTGGGACACCGCTCCCTCACAACCGCAGCGCTGCCGGGCGGTGGGACCGGGGGTGCTCCTCACGCACCTCCGTCCCCTCAGCGCGGTCACTGCCTCGACCCGTCGCAAGCGGACACTCCCGGGGCCGCGGCACCGCGCCCCCTGCGAAGGCGCAGGCGGAAGCACTTCCCGGCGCCCGGTGTCGTCACAGCCGGCGAGGCGGGAGCGGCGGGCGGGGCCCGGGCAGCCTGTCACGGCCGCTCCGTGCGGTCCCTGTGCCCGCCGGTCTCTTCAGTCGGGATCTGGGTCGTTTTCCTGGCTTCCTGAATCCAGTGAGGACTTGCGGGCTGGTCAGCATGTAGAGGTGTCGGCCCCGAGCCCTGCGCGCGGTCTCTTGAGATTGAAAACTTTGGTCAGAATCCCCCAGCGTGTTCACACAAGTCCCACCGCCCCTGTGCTACATCATAGAATCACAGAAAAGTTTGGCTTGGAGGTGACCTTAAAGATCATCTAGTTTCAAATGCCCATGCCCTGGGCAGGGACACCTCCCACTAGACTGGGTTGCTCAGAGCCTCCGTCTAACCTGGCCTTGAATACTTCCAGGGTTGGGGCATCAACAGGTTCTCTGAGCAACCTGTTCCAGTGCCTCACCACCCTCACAGCAAAGAATTTCTTCCTAACATCTAATCCAAACCTACTGTCTTTCAGTTTGAAGCCATTCCCCTTTGTCCTATCACTACAGTTCCTGATGAAGAGTCCCTCTACATCTTCCTTGGAGGTGCCCTGCAGATACTGGAAGATTGCTATGAAGTCTCCACACAACCTTCTCCAGGCTGAACAGCCCCAGCTTTCTCAGCCTGTCTTCGTAGGGGAGGTGATCTGGTTCCAATCATGCTGATAAATGGCTGAAAATCTTTTTTGCAAGGTAGGAGTGTATATGTTGGTATACACATGCACACCTGGATTAATTTTACAGCTTTATAGGTGTACTGCTACTCCTTCTTGCTTAGAAATATTACTGCTAATATGGAAAAGCCTTAACACGTGGCCTTCCTGTGTCACAGTATTTGTGTGGGTGTAAAATGTCTCTGAGTGCTTGTACCACACTAATACAGTTGAGTTGAGGTGGTTTCAAAATACAGACAAAGCTTCCTGTGTGAGGGGAAAAGGAACACCCTCAAAAACAAACAGGGCACTGATAGATACAAACTGTCTATGCAGTAGCTAATGCTTACTGTCTGCCTAATGAAAAATTTCTTCATATGCAAAAATCAGTAAGTACCAAAGTTTCTCTTTTTTTATTTCCAGGTGATGTCATACCTAGAACTCTGTATTTGAGTGAGTTTGACAACTAGTCAAAATCATGACAAAATATGAATTCTTACTAAGTCCTGTCAAGATAGTTGTGATCTATTAAAACTGATGTTACAAATTATCTTTTTTTGTGAAATGCATTGCATTTGTAATGCTGTAAAAATAAATCAGAAATTTGACGCGTGTGGGGAGGCAAGGGGTGACAAGCACAAGAAATTGGGTGAGGAGGAAAGCTGAGCTGTTTAAGGGTTTTCCTTTGCTCAAGAGACCTTCCGCAGCTGGAAGGTTTAAGTCTAGAAGAAATAATGTGGGAAGCAGCAACATTCTGTTTTTCCCTCTGGCTGTTTTTGCCAAAAAAGATTTAGTTTCTATCAAGAGAAATAATTACAAGTTATGTAAAACTTCAAAGCATTCTTTCCCATTGACTGAGGGGAGGGGAAACAATAAGAGAAAGAGAAAACTGTAAAAACCAGCCTAGAGGGTATTCTGCATATGTGTTGGGCCTTTGACACATAAGGCAGGAGCCCAGCTCTGCGGGATGTGTGTGTTCTCTCCCACCTGGCTGTGAGTTCTCACAGTCTGTTCTAGCATTTCTGAATTTGGAAATTAACTGTCTTCAATGCTGGAGCTAATGGCTTAGTTCTCTGGTTGCCTGCGTGCATATCAAATCATACATGTGATATACAATCTTTGTTAAAGAAAGAAAAAAGCAGTCAAGGAACAGTCAGGAACAGAACCATACAAAGTTGCTATCAGAGGCATTTTGCTGCAGAAAACATTTTTTACCTCAGAAACTGACTAATAAGGGTAAACACCACCCCCTTTCCTAAACTGAAGATTTTTACTGCCTGGCTAAGTTCTCTCTAGCACTCTGCCCTAGCCAAGATGCAATGTAAATAATTATATTTTAACGAGGATCTTAGCATAAAAGATACAAAAGTGATTTCTTAAACAGATAGGAAAAAATGGTTTATTAAAATAAGAGGGGGATATTTTCAGACAGCAAAAGAACATCCCATGGTGTCTGGCTAGACAGTGTTTGGGAAGAGCAGCCCCTGGAGAATTTCAAAGGGCTTGTTTGAAGGCTTGCATCTCAGTTCACTGTACATTGAGAAAAAGATGCAAAAACTATTCAAGGGTTGAGCACAAAGGATAACGGTTTCCTCTTCCGATTGCTTGGCCAAGAGCTCTGTTCACAGTGCTTAACTTGCTGTCCCAGATCCGATGGCATGAGAGTAATGAACAACTCAGACCACCTACTATTCAGGCATGCCAGACACAGACTCCATATGCGGTGTATCCTGAAGTATAGGGCTGTCACGTACAGTAGGCAGTTGAAACATGAAGCCAAGTCTGCATGTGGAGAGTGCTGAAGAACGTTGCTAGGAGGCCTAATGTTCTTCATTGCCAGTCCGCAGAGCCATCTAAATCTGATGTTTCACTCCCAGACAAAGGAATTTCTTCCTTTTAGGTAAGAATATTTTCTTGGTTGAATGAGAAAAAGATTAATATGTATTTTTCTTTTTAAAGGCAATCTGTTAAGCAACCACTGTCTGACTTCAGTTTGGGCCAAGTGCTTTCATCTGGAAGGTGTCCAAATCAGAGATCATCTTTCACATCCATTTCAATATCTGTGGCATCGGTTCAACCAGTGTCTTAGCATTCTGCAGCCTTTGTTGTTGGGTTGTAAAGAAGCTACCAAAAACCTAACAAAGAGCCTATGTCTGTATGTAATATTCTAGTCCAATCAGCTTTAACCCAAGTTTGAGATTAGGACTCATTGTTTTCACAATAATAATGTCTTATGATTTTTTTCTATTTTAAGAGGTTCTCACTCATATACCCTGAGCAACTCCAAAGGTGGTATAGTTGTGTTCCATCAGGAGAATAAAAATCCTCAAAAGTGAGTGAAGAGGATAATTGTTGCTTTTTTTCAAATAATTTTCTCTAAATCAGTTGATGTGCTTGCAAGGCAATATGAATCATTCTATTTAAAAATAAACAGAACTGGTGAAATCCCTGGATCATTCTCTCTTTTCCTCGAATAAAAGAGTGTACTCTCTCACAAGTTTCCTCACACTACTCCTTAGCAGCAGTGGTTTGATACTGCTCTGAGGGTGACAGATGGGCTTGGGGGAAATGTGTTAGCCAGGAAAGGACTTTCATTCTCCACCCTGTCTCATTTAGTGTTTATGTGTTCTTTCAAGGAGAAATAATGGGACTTAGTGGAACCTTTGCAAACAATAAACAGACAAGGCACAATTTTACTGATACCAAGCTGTGACAGATAAAGGCATAGCATGTAACTTTTTTAGTATGTGGCCAACACAGACAGTCAAGGTAGGTGGAGTTTAGTTCATCAGGGATTATGTTTATAGGCCAGAGGAAAGAGTTAATGGCTGTGATTACATGAGGAGGATTGGGGGTTTGGTGGTTTTTTTTGTGTGTGACATGGGTGTTTTTCCGATCGTGTTTTCCTCATTCAGGCAGGTATTTTCATGAACTATGAAAGCATCCATTTAGAGGGAGGCAGGATCATCTATGGTAGTGCTAGATAAGATGGGATAAATTACATAGGATCAGAGCCCAAAGCATCTGAGCAGAGGGCAGTACTCCATGCCTTTGCTCAGTAGGGGATGAACACAGCTGTTTTCTGGACCAAAGGGAGTCTGGGGTTGAGCAATGAAGACCTCTCTGCCTTTATATGATTCTGTTACACAGCTCTTAGTGCTGCAGGTGGTAGAAGGACAAGAAGAGCGAGATGGAAGGGGTTCAGCTTCCTTCCTTGCCTCGTCTCCTTCATGATCTGTATATCCATAAGCAGACTTGTCTATATGTTAAATGTGTTAATGGCACGTTCTGTGGGGGTGCAGAGAAGCAGAGTGTCATGTCTACTGGGTTTCATACAGGTGGTAACCAACTTCAGTGGTTTGCCACAGCCCAGCCTCCGAATGTTCACAGAGTGGTCAGAAAAAATGACCTGTAAATCCCTAATTTCAGAATGGCCTTATGTGGTGGAATGCCCACCAAGCTGCCCCACCATCACACTCCCTCACTACCCCATTCCCTCGCTCCCCCTCCTCAGCAGCACGGGGTGGGGGGGAATAAGATGAAAAACTTTATAGGTTGAGATAAAATCAGTTTAATAAAAGAAAGTAAAGGCTGAATGTGGAAGCATAGTCCTGTCATAGACTGATCCAAATGGCACTACAACAGGTGTTATTTTACAGCTTGGACACTGTGGAGACTTGCATTGCCCACATAAGTCAGGGTCAGATCCATCAGAGCAGAGGGCAGTACTCCATTTCCAGTAATATACATACATCCATTTCCTGCTGCGGTCCGGGGTATGAAGGAATGGGATCGGGCACTACAATAAGGGGTCCAAACACACTTGAGGTCTGGTGAGGTAATGCCGATTTTATTAAGACAACAGGGCTTTAAATAGTGTAGGTTTAGGGGTTGGGTTCAGGTTTAGGGACGAGCAAGGGATTGACAACTGAAGGGTCCCAGGGATAGGATAACAGGGTAAGGGTAGGTGGAGTTTGGGAGTTGCTGTGGGAATGGGCCAATGACAGCTACCTCTGCACTGCACCAAACCTCAACCAATGGCAGGCAGAAGAGCGGGAAAACAGGGGAGGACAACAGGTTTAGGCGGGAAAACTGTGAGGGGAGGAAGGAGACAATATGGTGGACATGATTTTTAAACAACAAACTGGGGTACAAAGAACTGTACAACCATATAACATAGAACTGGGGTATAACTGGGGTAGACAGGGGAGAACAGTCAATCCGGTGGTTTGTCAAATCCAGTGAATAAAGGTCCATAACAGTACATAAATGTCCATTCCAGTATGTGAGTGTCTTTTCAGGGGTCATAGGCTTTTCTCCAGGCTTGGTATTTCTGCCACTCGCTCTCGTCTCCTCCAACAATTTCCCATAATATAAAAACAAGCATTAACAAAGGATGGGGGAGCCAGATGAAGTGTGATAGTTCAGCTTACATGTGGGGGGCTTTAGGCATGATGTAGCTTTTTGGTTCTAACTTTGCAGAGGATCCTACACACCCATTTCTTGATATTGACAGATGTGTTGTATTATCAATTCTCTACTTCTAAAAAGTTTGCTTCTTGACCTTCAGCCCAGAAATGTTGCCCTTGGCCCCTTTGTTCCTTAAAACACCAAAGAACTAGTTTCGCACTCAGTTCTTTCTGGCATGCAGATTGTTATCCTTCCCTGCATTTTACATGATGGGCTGTTATGCCCAGCAGCTGGTATTCTCCCTGTAACTGTGACAGAAGGAAAAGGAGTAACAGGAAGTCCCCAGACTTCTTCCTGGGTATCCCAGTGCAGAAATCTCATCCTTATAATCCTTCTGCTTTTGCAGTCGTTCAGTTGCTTGTCTCCAAAGAGACATCTGGAAGTCCCAATGTAATCTAGACACTGTGGCTTCAGACCCAAGCCTAGAAGCAGATGTATCATGTCTCCTTTTGGTCTCACTACCCAGCACCTCCCCTGCAGCCTCCCACTGTGTTGGTGCTCCAAACGCTGACACTGAAAATTGTTCACACAGAACAGTACCAAGTTTCTCTTTTTGCCCCAAAATAGCTGTGGGCAGTCTGTGACTTCTTGTACTGGACTTTCGGATATTTCCCCTGGTCCTATTTTTCCTGAGCAAATGGTGTCTTGTGGGACTAGCTGTTTGGAAGAAGAGGCATTCTAAATTGCAGTTTATATGAACTCTGTGTCTTCATCAGCCAAATGTGCATTAATGATGCCTGTAGATAAATTTTCAGCATGCTTGTTGGATGGCTTCTCTTGGGGCTTGCACAAAAATGGCTTGGAAACGAAACATTTGCAAAGAAGCGGATGTTGGCAAAAGAAAGCATTACAATGAGATGTAAAATATGTGCACTGTAATTTATACAGGCAACTAGCTTCTGGGAAACTTGACCTCTGGCCAGTGGAGGACAGAAACATATCTAAAGAGACCACTGAAGCAGTGACTGGTACACAGTGGGACAGAGATGGAGGGACTAATTATATTTTCACAGCTGTTACACCAATGCTGAAAGTATGTTGGTGACAAATGACTTTGTGGTGGACTTCACAGTAGTTAATACTGGAGAAAAGCTAGTCTGCCCTGTGGTTTGACTGCTTATGTGCTATTAACATTACAAGCAGGAGTGCAAGGGTGGTTTTTCTCTTCAGGGGTCATTGCCAGTATGCAGTTTCCCACTGTTGATCCACAGTTGGAGGCATAGTTCTCATTAAAGTGTTGACAGATGATACTCCTGTGACTCATTCCGTAGTAGGACAGAGAGAGAGGTCCTGTGCTCTTTTCCTTCCCAAAACATGTCCTAGTTGTGTGAGGGCATCCCTGCTCTGCTCTGTAGTACATGGCTTATTTTCCTAGACCCTGAAAAGTGCAGCAGCCTGGGGTTTCTCTCTTCATCTGCCTCTACTGATGTTTTATTTCTCTCTCTAACTGTAAATCTCTAGTAGTAGGCTGTAGCGGGTTGACCCTGGCTGGACGCCAGGTACCCACTAAGGCCACTCTCTCACTCTCCTCTGCAAGTGGACAGAGGAGAGAAAATATAAGGAAGGGTTCATGAGTTGAGATAAGGACTGGGAGAGATCACTTACTGATCACCATCACAGGCTAAACAGACTCAAAGTAGGGATATGGATTAAACTTATTACTAACAGAATTAGAGCAGGAGAATGAGAAGTAAAAATAAATCTTAAAAACCCTTTCCCCTCCCTCCTTCTAAGTTCTACCTTCTCCCCTCCAGTGGCACAGGGAGACAGGGAACGGGGGTTACGGTCAGTTGTTGTTTCGGCCGCTGGTCAGGGAGAGGAGTCCTTTCCCTGCATCCTGTGGGTTCCCTCCCATGGGAGACAGTCCTTCATAAACTTCTCCAACGTGAGTCCATCCCATGGGCAACAGTTCTGCACAAACTGCTGCAGCGTGGGTCATTTTTCCACAGTGTGCAGTCCTTCAGGCACAGGCTGCTCCAGCCTGGGTCCCCCACAGGTCCACAAGTCCTACCAGGAAAACCTGCTGCAGCGTGGGCTTCTCTCCCCATGGATCAGTAGGTCCCTGCCAGGATCCTGCTCCAGCATAGGCCTGCCACAGGGTCACAGCCTCCTTTGGGCATCTACCTGCTCTGGCACAGGCTCCTCCATCGGCTGCAGGTGGGTCTCTGCACTCCCACGGTCCTGTATGCGCTGCAGGGGCACAGCTGCCTCACCATGGTCTGCATCACAGGATGGAGGGGAACCTCAGCTCTGGCACCTGGAGCACTTCCTCCCCCTCCTTCTCCCCTGACCTTGGTGTCTGCAAAGTTGTTCACATGTTCTCAGTCTGCTCTTCTCTGACTGCAATATTCACCTGTCTCGCAACTTTTTTTCCTCCTTCTTAAATATGTTATCACGGAGGTGTTACTATCATTCCTGATTGGCTCAGCCTGGCCAGTACTGGGTCCATTCTGGAGATGGCTGGCATTGGCTCTACTGGACATGTGGGAAACTTCCAGCAGCTTCTCACAGAAGCCACCCCTACAGTCCCCCCACTACCAAAACCTGGCCACAGAAACCCAATACATAGGTGAAAACATTCTCTGTGACTTCAAGGGAACAAGCGTACCCCACTGTCATTTGGGAGAGCACTGACCACCTGTCAGCTGATTTCAAAGAATATCTGTATTCTTGAAGTGTTATAAGGCTCATTGTTGTTTCTTGTATCTGTGGCAAAAGATGTTTTCTTTCACCTTAATTTCCTTCTTATGAACAAAATTACTTGTGATTTATTCAGTGTCAATCAATTTAGATTCTCTAGCCTCATTTCTTATTCAGAGATTCCACAACCCATTCTGCATGTGAATCAGATATTGCATGCACACATGGATGGCATGTAAAGCAGGTATTAACAAGATAGTAAGATCAGCCCTTCTGGTGCTACAAATCTAGTCCTGGGAATTTTTGCATTCTGGTCAGTAGCTCCCCTGCATGTGTAACCATTCATGGACTCATTCTCTGTTGTTCACTCTCTCATTTAGACGTTCATTCACACAATATATTCATCCTAAGGTAAATTTTGCTCTTCTTGTTTTCTTTTTAGTAGCTTTAGAATGATTTGAAGAAACCCAGACATACATTATGTGGTCATGTCAGATATGTTGTGGTAGCAGCAGAAGACTCCAGGCAAGAGTATAACTTCATTCTGCTCTGTGAGCACAGAAGAAAATAGTCCTTATCTTCGGTGCTTTACAATTTAGAGATTGTATATTTCACAACAAGGAAGAAGATAGATTAAAAAGGGACCTAATGGTTTTTGGATAAGGAGGTTGGAGTGTCCTAATTTACCATGAAGTCATCAACAGTGTAGATGGCAATGCTGGAAAAGTTATAAGGGCATGAAAGATCTACAGTGCAGATCCTGTCTGCAAAAGCCATCATCTCTCGATGCAAGTCAAATGCCACTTGTGTCTTCCCAGTGATATAAGACTATGTGAAATAGGGAATGGAATAATAGATAAGAAAAAAGCATAGCTGGAGGCAGATGCCCGAACACAAATCATCCCTCTAAGCTGATGCATTACTGCGGGATTCCTGGATTGACTCATTGTCATTATTTATGCAAAACTTCTGGCCACATTCCTTCTGTCTAATATTACAAGCAGTATGTTACAGAATGGAGGATGTCCTCTATTTCCCCAGAGTTTTTCATCCTGCTCCTATATAACCTTCCAGATGTATATCACAATTACTAGAAGCAGTATATTTCTCATTATAACCTGAAATCTATATACAACATCTGGCCATTTTTACTGACTACATTCCCAACTAGTGCAGGCTTGGATGATGGCAAAGCTCATCGTCTTGCTGGATCAGTACTAATTGCACATTACATTTTAGCTCTTTTTTCTTAAACATTGTGTATCCTAATTATGGCATGTTGGAAAGTGTTTTGTAACTTGTGGGGTGTGTTGTGTGTGAAACATGCTCAGTAAACTCTGTATAGCTGCAACTATACTAATAAATTAAATGTTCATCAGACTGTTCTCT